TAGAGTAAGCCGAGCCTAACGGATTGTAATTTTTTTTCGTACCGATTTCACTTTGAAGGAGAGAAACTATCCTCTGAAAAAATGCAAATTCTTATTTTCTGTAAATTATCTTGATAATGGTAAGAAATAATAAAAAAGAGTTTAAGCTAAAAATACACTGTTCTTTCACGTCTATCAAATTGGAAAATAAAATTTTTCAAAATCAAAATTTCGAAAAATTTGAACTTTTTGAGAAATTTTATTTTCCAAATTTATAGACATGAAAGAACAATGTATTTTCTGTTGAAACTTGTTTTCGCTACCTCTTATCGTTCTCAAAATAATCAAGGGTAAAGAAAAATTTTCACTTTTTTCAAGGGGTGATTTCATCCGTTCAAAATGAAATTCGACACAAAAAATTGGAATGTATTAGGCTTGATTAACCGTACTTACACGCAAAATTTCATAATTTTTTAAATTTCTGGGTTCAATACCTTTCCTTGTTAGCCAGAAATGTTTATAGTCCTGTTGTTGTTATTTCTTTGTTTTACGTATAACCTCTCAGACAGTTTCATTGTCAATTATCAGAATATCCTTTTGCAAAAATGTTTCTTCAAATTGTGCATAATAACTATTTCGTGCATCGTTTTTTGAAAACATGGATACCACCAACATTCGTTTAATTTTCTTGTATGAACTCAAACTTGGAAATAATGTCTGCGAAAACCGCGGCAAATGAAAACAAAGCATTTCGAGACAATAGTGTGAACGGAAGAACGGTGCGGCGTTGATTTGTACAATTTCGTTTCAGTGATGTTTCTTTACAAAATGGGTCACGTGGCAAACCCAAACCAGTAGTTTATAACGATGTCTTTGAACATTGATTCTAAACATTCAATCTTTTTCAAAAAAGGAATATATGCATTAAAAACACGTTGGCAGAAGTGTACCGAATCGAATATAAAGTTTTTCACCATTCTGGTCGTATAAAGTGAAGATAATAAGATTCAAAAATTTTAAAATAAGAAAACGGTGATATTGAAAAGATTAGAGCAGATGGTTAATAAATTGTTGTACATGAAAAGAAACATAAATTCTTAATTTATGCACTATATTTAAAGGTAATACATACAGAAAAATGATACACTTTAAATATTATTGTAATTATCGTTTCAACGTTTCTCTTCTTAATGAATTATGCCTAAAAATGCGGTGAACTATATTAGATTCTGCTTTATTTCCTTCCTTCATAAAACGTAAATAATAGAAATGAATCAAAAATTTGACAAGGGTTGTGTATGTACAAAATTTTCACTTTTATATTTCAAACAATGTAACTGCTTAATTTTGAATAAATCGCTTTATACGTGTTAACAATGTTGTTGACTGGTTATACTAAATTGTTAATATTGCAGAGCGAAATAAATTCATAATCATGAAATCAAAGAATTATTAATTTATAAATTTTCTTCACAGTTTTCTTAATTATTTGAAATTAAACTTGAACTGAGTATATAGTATTACGAAAGATATAGCGAGAAATTAGTTAAGAATATTTTTTCAGTAAAAACAGTTAAATTAATAAATTATGCATGCAGGCTAACCTAAATCTGCAGTGAAAAAAATATAGTCGTCTATATATAACTTTATTCAACACGCTAAAGTTACTCTAGTTTCAATAGTATACACAAAAATATGTGTACATGTATTGTAAATTACACTAATAAGAGAAGTTGACATAAGGAAATCCTTATATAGGATATACTTCAACGCCATCTACAAAGAATTATTATGTTCACTAGGTTTCATTATTTAGATTAAGTATTTCAGTCAATATGTACGCTACAGAGTTGTAATCAATGACAGACAGAATATTTAATGAGCTTACAAGATTTAGTTTACATAACTCTTGACTAAATAAGTTAAAAAATAAGTTCATGTATTCTATATTTTATTTGTGATATTTATATGTGAAACTAAAATATACGTTTTTTGCTTCATATTTTTTTACCAATTTTTACTGCGTACGTCAGGCACCAATAAAATTTATCTATTTATTGGTAAATTATAGGGTAGAAAACAAAGGGTTTCCAAATTTCAGATGCATGCAATAAAAATTAATATTATCATAATGTCTTATAAGAAAACTAAATAAGAAACAAATGAAAAAACGAATTTCGTTTATATGTTTCGAAAATATATTATTATATTATTGATAATTATTCCTGTCTGGAATACTCTTGACAGATCAAAATTGACTAAGCAGTTTCTAATTATAAACTGACATAGGAAGTGAAATGAATCAACAGCTATAACTAACCTTTTACGTAAACAGATGTGTGCCTTCGTAACATCGGTTTACTAGATTTCTAAGCACCATCATATCACCTCCTGACATTGATTCACTGTACGTACACGCGTATGCACAAGCGAATCGACATACACAAGCATGTAGGTATTTACAGTGACAATCACTTTAAGACCATACATCTTAAGACTAAAACTACCAGACAGGTCAAAATGGCCCATTCCTGATGTCTTCTTTTTGCAGTTATTAAAAAGACAACATTAATTTAGCAATACGTAAACTGAATTGTAAATCAATTAAAGTTTCAATATATGCACTTTTGAAGTTTCTATATAGAAATTTCAAAAAGTCAATTTAACTGCTCCGTAGTTTTAATGTTAATATTCGTAAGGATTTTGTTCGTAATTATTATGTAATTAAAATGAACGTAACTCACACATAAATATACCAACCCATCTTTACTGAATGTACAATAATTGAAAACTGAAAGTTCTACTTATGAAAGGTAATTCGTGTATGGCGTATGAAAGTAACGTTAAAATCGTCAGTGCATGCAAATCGTTCCGATCGATAAAATTGTATTTACTAACCTGGAAATTATCTAATTTCATTGTTTTTAATCCTTTGCTTTTTACTTTATACAATCGTTTTACGCAATTCCAAGCGTTAATTTATAATTAGTGAAATAAAAATATTGAAATGACAAGTAAAGTCAAGTAAAAATGAAAGTAAAATTATTAAACAATGCCAACGGTGTTATCATGTATGAAATAAAATAAAAATCAGTTTAAGTAAACAATTAAATCTTTGGTCGACTGTTTAGTTAGAAAGTAGATCATAAAAGATATGAGAGTGTTAATTGCGGTTAATGGAACAGAAAATTTAGCGTTTACAGGTAGGAAGATAATTAAAAGCGGTTACGTGAATAATTTGTTAAGACTAATTGTAACTAATAATAAAGTGACACTGACTGTATATTCGTATATCGGAGAATAAAACACATAATTATGTTATATTGAGGATAACGATTTCTAATTCATTAATATGTTCGGTTTAGACTTCCAAAACTATGTCTTTTAATAGACATTGATAAAACATGTCGATGAGTTTATATTAATATAAGATAAAAATGGTTTTTCAAACATTTTCAGTTCAAAATTCCTGTTAATTGTAAATAATAAAAATTATATTAACACTTTTATGCTTCGTTTGTGATTGCATGTAGTCAAATTAAGATACTGTGGTTATCTTTCTTTCATATACATGCAAACAATAAAATCTTTAACAATTCCCTTACAACAACAACAAAATTTCAATTTCTCGATAAATTATGTTATTTCTAATGTAAATGTTATACATCCAGTAAGAATGTAATAAGAATATATCCCATTCTAATTTTGATTTTGATCTTCAAGATATTGATTTCCTTATAATTATTATAATAAACGTTCAAGTTGTTACACTTAATGGAAAACTTTATATAATCACTCTTTATATACAAGGTATCCTTTCTGAAAAATCTGAGATGCTATAAAATCGATGAATCCATATTGTCCATTTCAGTAGCTTCGGAACACTGATTCAGCAAAAACCGTAACGAGTGAGTAATGAACCAATACATGAAAATTTACGAGCTTCCGCTGAATGGTATTCCATCTCACACGAACGCATTCAAGTGTGATCAAATTTTAATCCAAGAAAATGATGTATGAAACGATTTAATTGAGACAGCAATGTCACTTAGCTTTTCCATCGATCTTAAACCTTTATTTGAACATTTTCTTCGCGCGCGCGTCGCAGAACTATTAAGACTGGGAGTTGAAAGCATCACATCAATTCGGTTGCTGATATCCATATTTAAGAGCAGACAGCTTTCAGTTCCTCATTTTTCTCGTAAGTAAAATGAACATAATGCCCAGCCGTGCCAAACGACGCATATAATTGCATTACTCGATCCCAGACTATTGTCTACAGTTCCAGCGACACGCGTCGTAGCGGAAAGCGGCATTTCTGATCATATTTAGCATCTGCATTTCTAAAATAACTGGCCGGTGCCGGGTACGATCTAAAAATTCACTGGAAAAAAGCTGCGAAGAAAGAAAGGCTGGCAAATCTATAAACGCGTCGGCATTTACGTCACTTAACGTCCCTAAGTAAGACGCTGCTAACGCAACCTTATCGTGCGGTATTATTGGTTATGTCTTCACACACACGCTTGACATTTTCGACTATTTAGCCTTTCAATATTGCCCCGCGATGTAACCGGCACAAAAAAGTATCTTTGCGATCGATCGAGCATACTTTTCCAGCGAGGAACACACAATTCGATCGTAATGCCCGTTCTTTCCCTCCTAGCGTCTCAGCACGACGCGGACCACTTGGGTAATTACTTAGGTATTCTTCGTTTAACACTAAAACTACCAAACACATCAAAATTATCCATTCCTAATTTCTTCTCTTTGCAATTATTTAAAAAAAAGTAACAGATGTTTTCCTGAGAAATGATCAAAGAAATTGATTTAACAATACGCAAAGAGAATTGTAAATCAATTAAAGCTTCAACAGATGTACTCCTGGAGTTTCTACAGCGGAATTTCAAAAAGTCAATTTAACTGCTCGGTAGTTTCAGCGTTAATAGCGTATTGCTCAGCATTACCGTACACTTTAATAACACAGCTTTGATAACCTTGTGAAAAAAAAACAAATCACCTACCTCCGGCGACTCATCCGGTACCTTGCCCATCCAGCTGAGCGACAGGATGTTGCAGTCGCACTTGGCATTGTTCTTCTCGAAATGCAAATGCATGATCGCGTTACTGGATCGCGGTGGCCGTTGAGATATTCGTCAAGCCATTGAAACCGGCACTGACAACGCGATTGTCACTCAGGTAAGAAGGAGCACCGCACGCGATCCTCCAACACCATTAGTCCGCTATTGGTATTCTCGAGTCCGAAGATCCCCGGTCGATGATCGTGTCCCGGCCAAAATCCTTCAAGCGTTCTTGGCGAAGCACGCGACAACTGACTCGGCGATCATCATAGCGATTTGTCGCGGTGCGTATTAGAAGCGACTCTAATTAGTCGGTGGACACCTTCTTTTCTTGCGTACACCCATGCACGGGCGAAACGGCGCGGTCAGGGTTGACCGAATGTCATAGGCGCGGATTGCGCCGCGTCTTCGCGTGGAACTCCTCGGGCATGCAAACGAACTGGTTCGGGAAAGCTGGTGTTCGCGGGCCAACGGATCACGTTCAGCTTGCAGCGAGCTTTTCACGGGAAGTCATTTGTTTGGTATCGCGGTCGCCATTTTGTTGCCAACTATATCTCCACCATCCCGTAAGTCTTGCCGATGATACTGTGGAACGCGGGAGGACACGCGTGAACGAGCGAGCGAGCGAGCTTCGTGAGCTTTCGTCGCGACCGTACGTCCGACTGAAAGCTCGGCCGGAGCTGCCACGCACGAGGCACCGTCGCGTTCTATGAGCGTATTGATTGCGTTCCGCGCTTGCTTGCTTTCCTAGCCACCTAACGGTATCTGGCAGTGTTAACTCCGCTGCAAGCTTTTGCGCGCTACCAGCACGGTTGTGGAAACTCGCTGACAAAACCTTCCGGGATTACTCCTTTTCAGAAGTTCGAAATCGATGTACGCGAAACAACGGGATTCGAATGTTTCAGGTTTTCTACTGTTCTTTGCATCGTTACGGTCAAATGTTCTTCGTATAGTTCATCAATGCTTTCTTTATTACAAATAAAGTTCGTTGCAAATTATGTAAAGATTGAAAGAGCGTGAAAGATATATTTCGCCTTTAATATCTTTACTCGGTACTATTGGAATATTAGGATATTTGATGGTTAATTTGGTACCTGCCTTGGGTCAATTGAAGATAAAATAAATTTACAAAAGTTATATTAAAACTTTGAAATAAATTATATTAATCCTGTGAATGTCAATTTTTCGATTTATTCTGTTATTAATTAGTTAGTAACATTATTAACTTGACGAAAGAAATAGTAGCATTTTTTTGGGAATGAAACATGGCATTACGCGGAATGTTTGAAAAGTATAATTGTTAATTCAAAGGAAAGAAAGGGTAGTTTAAACAAACATCATTGTTACGGATTAATATAGGTATACCTAATAGTCATCAAAAATATAAAAATCTTAATTGATTTACAAAAGAAAACAAATATAAAAAATAATATTTGCAACACTAATTTTTTTAATTACTTGCTGTATTAATGATCGTTACACTACTCTTTTTCATCAAATTAAATTTTTATAAATGTTCTCAATTTTCATACTCATTTAATGTCGAGGAAATTTGAAAGTCAGTAAAATAGAATCTCTAATTGTTTTAAATATACACAAATGTACATAACTTAAATTCTAACAAATTCGATTACTGTGGTCTACGGTCATAAAGAAAATCACGTATAAGGTGATAGACAACAATTTGAATATTTTCGTAACGATTGAAAAGATACAAAAACCCTTTTTTTCGCTCATGATATCTATGTAGTGTCAAAAACAGAGATGAATTTTATTTAACAAAGTTTGTGACCAAAACATTTTTCTAAGATTTTCATGTGTGAAAGAATTAATTAAGTTAAAGAGTTGATCTATTAAAACACTACAATTTTATCGGAAAGGTGTTTATACTGACAATATTTTGAAAACATTAGCAATGACATATTTTATGTCTTATTTTATGTATAACTCATATTTAATATTACGTATTTTAATTAATTTTATTTCATAATAAATTTAATTGTTTTCATCTTTTTAAGTATTCAAAACGTCTGCAATTCTTAAGTATATAAATTTTAATAATATTTAATAATAATATAGTACAGTAATATAATAATAATCACAACAATAATAAATACACATTTGTTTAATTAAATATATATATTTACTTGTTATAGAACGCACTAATCATAACATTCTAAAACATTTTAGAAGCAAGAAGAAAAATCAAAAGTAATAAAACCATCGTTTAATACTTTAAACTTATTTTTCTTCTTACCGACTTATAAGTTTCGTTTCGAAGAATTTATGCCTACGTGCAGTTCCGATCTAAAGTCAATGTTTGCTAAATATCTAAAATTTATAGCGTGTGCCTGATTATTGTTGTTTGACTATGCGTAAGAATAGAATTGTTCGCATATTTTTTCAGCACTTGAATTCATAGGATCATTAAAATAAAAATAGAGTAACCTTTATTTACATTCTTTCTCATTAGAAAATGAATATCACTGCATAATCATATTTACTTAATTAATTTCTGATGCAATACAACTTCGAAACACGTATTATATAATCTTTTAATAGTGAACGATCCATATTTCAATAAAGCAAATTTTTCATACGTGCAATATATAAATTATTTTTCCCAACAAATATTTTTACTTATATAAAGTATAGGAACTTTTAAAGTGATAACCGCACTTATGTACGTACCATAAACTATTTGAGAAACATATTTCTTCATAAATAGAAAGAAAAGTTGAAGTATATTTTAATTTTGTTTCTATTATTACAGTTATACTGTATTTATTTCCAAAAACATTTTAAAGATTATAAATATAATTTAATCATTAATAAAAATCTAAAATTATTCTTATTTACGAATTTAATTGTACAATATAATGTAAAAAAACTATACATAAATAAAATTACTTATACAAATAGTTTAATATTATTTCTATCCATTTTTTTAAAACATTTAATAGTTTTCTAAACAGAATAAAATTACGAAATTAACTGTCTTATTATCTTGAATGAGATATAATAATAGTGATCTATATTTTAATGTGCAATACTATACTATATTACATATAATATAATTTATTGTTTAATACTGGACTTAAATTTTGAAAAAATAATTGTAATATTTCTAATAATTTCAAACTTATGCAATGAGTACTTTGTACTATAAGGGGGCAGAAATTTCAATTGCTCAATCATTCTTTTCGCATATGTAGTTATAGATATTGTTCATAGTACAGCGCTGCTTACCGGTGCTGTCACAATCGTAACATGGTTTCGTGAATTTGTTCAAAGTTATCAATTAAATACGTTATCTAAAAATCTTTTAACAAATTAATTTTATTCTAAATATAATGGATTATAAAGAAGAACAACGTAATGAGATCGAAGCTTTGGAATCGATCTACTGCGGTGAATTGGAAAGTATGCATTCTTGTATAACCTATAAATTTGTTGTGGAAATATAAAAATGTTACTATTTTACCCATTATTATATTTTAATAGTTTAGCTGATGAAAAAAATAAAATCATGAAAAAGAAATTCTATTATATGATATATTTAATTTGTAAAGATTCTGTAATGAAACCTTTTGTACAGTTTTAGCTGTAGAACCATTTTACATATTTGCTGTACCTATTAAAACAGAAGAATATGAACCAGAAACTGAAAATGGTCTTAGTTGTCGATTAGAGTTTACATATACAGCAAATTATCCTGATGAACCGCTCCTCATATCTATTGAAGAACAGGAGAATTTTGAAGAAGGAAGCGACAAACAGTTAAAAGAACACTTAATAGAAGAAATGAATGAAAATTTGGGAATGGTTATGGTTTTTACATTGGTTAGTGCTGCACAGGAATGGCTTAATTGCCAATGGGATAAGATTAAATTAAAAAGGGAAGAATCTGCAGCGCTTAAGCTCAAAGAAGAAGAAGAAGCAGAAAGGGTAAAATATATATATATATATATAAGATTTTACAATGTAAAGGTAAAACTAACATAATTTTTTTATTATACAGAAAAAGTTTGAAGGAACTCGAGTCACTGTAGAAACATTTTTAAGTTGGAAAGAGAAGTTTGACAATGAAATGGGATATACAAAACGGAGGGAGATAGCGGAACGTGAAGGAAAGAAATTAACTGGCAAAGAATTATTTATGACTGATAAAACATTAGATCAGTCTGATCTTAAATTCTTAGATGATGGTATTATTTTAATATACTGAGTTCATATAAACTGAGTTAAAATATGGAAAATATATGAAAGCTACATAAGAAACTTGATTTTTATTTTTAGGAGATGCAGTTAAAGTAGATGAAAGTCTTTTTCAAAATCTTGATGATTTGGATTTGAAAGATGATGACGACGATGACGATGATGATCCTGATTACGATCCAAATGTTTCTGATGATAGTGCCTAAAATAAATACAGTATATTGTTGGTGGAAGAGATTGAACCTATAAAACTAATAAAATGTGAACATTATATTATCATTGAGCATTGGTAGTTTGTTCAAGAGTAAATTTGATATACTTTTTGTACACTGGCACATTGAGGGCCTGAATAAAATTAATTAATTAAATTTGGCCCTGTAAGATCACTATATCCACATCCATAAAGCATCTCTTCCATACACAATATATTTTATGTTCTAGATAATGGTTAATCACAAGATAATAAATTAAAAGATTAGTACTTCGAAGTTTACTGTAAGTACTAATGTATAAATGACAGATTAATGAATTTGAAGCAAATGTGTCACTAGAAAATGAATTAATCATAATTCTTTGGTGCTATTTGCATTTTGTACTGTAGCTGACAATGCAACATATTGATATCTGTTATGCAGATATATTTTACACATGCAAGTAAAGGGATGAAAATATTTCATAACAAAAATAATTTTTGTAATTATGTATATAGCTGAATCACTTTCATAAAGTTTTGTTTAATAAACAATATATTACAATTTTTCCCGCGCTTGATTGAAGCCTCTTCAGAAAGATCATTTAAAAAGGGGAGTGTAAAGAAATAAACAAACGCGCTAACGATCATGACTTAACATTTATTCATAGCCTTAAGAGTATAATTTATACGTCCAGTAACAAATTCTAAGAAACGAGAACTTGTAGTTAAATAATTTCGGGTTTTCTCACTCGTGTATCCGTGGTAAATTCCTTACGTTTGTGGTGTGGCAGTAATTACAATTCACTCGATGTTGTTGATCGAAGTTTCTATTTCACATAACACATAGGAACCATCTGACAAAAATGTTCATTTCATATATTTAGTTAAAGTAAGACTGATAAGTAGAATATAGTACAAAAGATACAACTTTCAAAATGTTTTTCTTTGCTAGTCCTGATTCAAATATTTAAAAACACGTTGTTAAATTGAAAAGATGGCGAGATAATTTGCGCAGCCTTATGTTATACATATATCCAGTGGAACAAAAGAGTCAATCCGAATGATCGATTTCTCTATTGATGCGTGCATTAAATTAAAAATTATTCGACGACATAGTAGCACAATAATAATACAATAAATAATCTGTTATACGCTATTGAGGCACAATTACAGTAAATCAGTGCTGTTCACGGATGGATCATTCACGTATGATTATCTTCAACCTCATGGTACACTAGATTTATACATATACATATAAACCGAGCATACATAAATATGTAACTAATGTATTTTTTATGCAGTTCAGGAAGTACTATGAGGGCAACCCGTGAACACCACTTGTAAAGCAACTATTCATCAATTTACAAAGTGATCTTAAAGAAGAATCTCATTAAAACGGACATTCTCTGTTTCAAGGAATAATCACCAAACTTAGAATGGCACGCAAACTAGCATGGTGCACAAATAAATAAAGAATTCCAGGTGAAGCGATTGGTAAAATTCACTTTTGTAATCAATGAATAGTCGCGCCTTGGAAATGTGTACATCGTCACAACGTATAATTACAGTATTAAATTAACAATAAATAAGTACGGAATACTGACGGGTAACGAGCTTGGATTTAAACCGTCAATTCCCTGACACATTTTACGACGTTAATTATATCTACTGAAGATTTACGCATGTGGCCACATTACAAGACATTTATTTACTTCCGCAACATTATCTTAAAACGTGTATGTATACGTCAGAGTAGCCGTCTTGTTTTTTAACTCGCCAACACGTCATAATCTGTTGGGAGAAGAACACGATTAGTAATGACATAACGCTCCTTCAGTACTTTTCATTTAACCAAGCGACACCTTGAAGGACTTTATCCAGCTACAAATATATGTATAACATAAAATAGGATTGGAACATGAGCACATCACTTTCAATTACTTCCTAATGTCTATCTACCGTGAACTAACGACATTACAAATAAACCCGCGTCGCTTGGCTAAATTTACTACTACATTCAAATCTACGCAATTAAAGTAAACAATCAAATTCGTAGCAGCAAACGATTTCATAATGTAATATGTACATATACATGGACTCGGTAACTGGTTTTTTTTTCTAGTCAGCAGTTAATTACATTTTGACACACATACACACACACGCACACACACGCAAGCACATTTTATGCATATATACCACATATTTCAAGTATCGACTATGTCTTGTACAGCATGCCAGACCCGATAGTATACCATTGATTATTCTAGGATGAAATATTAACAGTCAAGAGGAGTGCTTTCGATACGCTTCTACGAAAAATAGACACTCTTTACATAGAGAAAAATAAGTTGTGTATACTATTTTATTCGTATTGGATTGCTTGATGATGCCACCCGATCTTTCGGAAAATTCGAAGACCGAGAACGTCTCAGGAACAAATATGTAATTACGTTGATATTTGCGAGCGTGAAATATTTTAATAATCCCTCGACATCTTATACGAAATATAAAATGTTTTGTACATATGGTATTCTGTACTTTTAAGCGCATCGTCCTTCAAACTGCACCCGTTTACCCGTAAAATACAGGATACCTCGGAATTCATGATATAATAAAAAAAAAATGTTCTTCATATGAAAATAAACTCAAATAATTATATTTGAAACTAATACATTTTTATTTAAAGAAAAACGTCACACAGGTCGTTTTGTAAATCATTCTGTCTGTAGAGGTATTTTAGAATTGAAAACTAAAGGATCGTTCCGAATCGTATGAAACATTGAGAATTATATTTAATGGAAACAATATCGATGATATCCATCCTATTTAATTTATAATATTTTCTCATAATTTTTAATTGTATTTGCAGCATTTTCATTGCTGCTAATATCAACATTATGTTTATTTTACGTAAAAATATCGAATATATAATTTACTGAGTTTTAAAACGTCTACAAAAATAAAGAAGATGTTATTATATTATCAATGGTAAAAATGAATGAATTTCAAACGATCGATACCACTAAAATACTTCATATTGCAGTCAGAGTTATATTTTATAATTTTAAATTCTATACTTTTCTATGTATTTACAAAATTTTTGTACTGTTTACTTGAAGATAAACTGATCACATGAATCACGATTAACCGACCGTATGAATTACGACTGAAAAAAGTGGCCGCAGCAAATTCAGTAAAATTTTACTTTTGTACGAAAACTTTCTTTAGATTTGCAATTTTCATTTATATGAAGAATTAGGCCGAAGGTACACGAGCGTTAAAATTACGTTCGTTATGACGAACGTCGTTTTGTACGAACGTAGATGATCACAACACACGAGCGATGTTGTTTTGGGTCAATTAGCACAGAAACTGCAGAGGAAATGAACCTGTACCTTATATAAATGTATCAATATTAGGCATTTTAATATTAATGAATAGTTAACGAACAACGTACAAATTAACATTACGTGGTAATGATATCATCTTTCAACATTATCAGTATTATGGATGACTATTCACAAAAGAAAAATTGTAACTAATCTGTATACAACAGGATAAAAATAGAAAAAGGAAATTGTTCAGTTTTGACACTTACATTTAGTGTTTTCTATAAAAACCCTTCTATTATAAATATGCGTTACTATACTAAGTAATGTCCGTTCTGGCATAAATGCGTCGAAAAGAAATTAACGAACGTTACACCGTACGTCAAATTTGACGCACGTTGCTCGTGTGATTGATCTTATAAGTAGATCGTAACATCCGTTATTTTAAGGCTCGTGTGCCCCTGGTTGTACTAGTTTTACATCATGAATTGCGAGTCACTTGATGTATGAAAATAAAATAAAATACATGGAAAATCGTTTAGTCTGAAAATAAACACAAATTATAAAAATAACAATAATAAATATTTATAAACAAGTTGCAGGCATTAATTGCGCGGCTTCTTCGCAATTTATAAAAAATTTTTATTTTAAATTGTAAATAAAATATATGTATATGGTTAGTAAAGCACTGTATATAAGTTTATAAAACATTGCAAAGTAAAGGCATGTTAAAATAACTGTGTTTGGAAGTTTTCTGATCTTTTGAGGAGGATTGTGTGCTTCTGACTGGTTCATTAGGATGACATCTATATTGTAAAGTAAAAGCACATCAGAAGGTTTGGGTCTCTTTGGTAGAGGAATTGGGAGCTTCTGATTGGTTCATTGAAAGGTCATCAGTAAAGGAAAAATCAGGCATCCTTAAACACAAGAAAATTTTTCTATGTTAAAGAGCATTGCTTTTACAGAGTAAAATGTTATGAGACAGTTATTCATTGGAAAAATAAAGCTTAAATAGAGAAAGAAGACAAAATTACATTTATAAACATTCACAGTGTATACATATAATGGTATATATACACTTCATAATCTTTGTATTCGCATTATCTTTCATTAAAACTTTATTTGTTATCGACTTCTTGATCGAAACAGTCACTGTTCAAATTTCGGTTCATTAAATAATCGGTATTATATAAAATCATAATTTATACTAAATAGGTTATGCTTCAATCAATGAAGCAACATATTACTATTATTTTCGTTTTATACAACATAACTGCAAAGGTATATGTGACAATAACAATTCTATAAACTTTCTTTAAATACTTTCAATAGTTAATACTTATCACGGCACTGGGAAATTACTAGCGATTGTAATACTGCGTATAGGATGAAGGAGGACATTAAAATACTGCAATGTTAGCTTACTGCGACATTCGATGCTGTAATAATAGCTCTATGTCATCATTTCATTTTGCCGTGCTTTAACGCTTCGTGCAAGTTATATTGTAAGAAGCAATGACAATAGTCACTGACAGAAGTAACAGTTCTTACAGCTACAACTGTTTTAAACTGCACTGTTGCCTGTATCTGCCACGACCTGTATTACATTTTCAATTCAGGACACAGCAATAATTTTTTTTTCTTTTAAAGATAATGGTAATTATAATAGCCTCTGAATATCTCGTTCGATGAAACCCGCTACAGATGTTTTAAATCGTGGCGGATTTCTACAGTCTCTCTGAAAAAAATTAATTAAGCTTCAGCGGCCTGCACCGAAGTCCATCACCGACTAGCAACGAATTCATCATAACAAAATGCTGTTGCTAATAGATAATCATTAAGAGATCTACAACTTTTTACAAATCATAACAATTTTCGAAGGAGAAAAATGTTAAGTTTCTTATTGTTTGTTGCATTTCATGTATTTTAATGAATAATTAAGAATATTCTCTATAGACCACTTTTTTCTCCGAAGAAAAGAATATTAGTATGCTTATACTAAACAGCTTAGAGCAAAGCGTTCAATATTACTGCGTTGCAGCTACTAAAAATTAAATTTTGAAAACATCATAAGTATTTTTACAATGTTAAAATTAAAGCAATATACAAAAGTTGTTAACAATTACTACAAGGAAAATGCGAGAGCAGTGTTAGAAAGCTGTATTCATGCTATGTTCAAATGTTTAAAAAATCTAAACTATTTGTGATATCACTGCATCTTATTTGTTTTAAAACTCACTAGTTCTGTTGTGTGTTATTGTACTTTTAAATTTTAATTGTTGCTGCTATTCTACGAATTCTGCATACTCTTACTAAACGCTTATGACTATGTAAAATACATCTATAGCGATATCGTATATACTATGGAGATCTAAGATTGTGTATAAATAATATATTAAAATACTTACTTCTCTGGTAAAACACGGGGTTTGGCATAATCACCCGGCCAGTCATAAATGTTTGGCAGTGGACTGTCATAATTGGCATCATACATTTTACTTACAATAAATTCCCGTTTGTCTTTCGGCTCTGGATATTCGCTTGCCAATCCAGCTGAAGGACAAAACAATGATCAAAATAAATGATACAAAGAATACTATAATATGCAACGGATGCTTATACTGTTAATCATTGCATCAAGGACATATTGATAAATTGATCTTTTATTTCAAATGAAGTATAAAATATGTTTTTAGACAGAGTACTCACTTTTAGCGTAAGCGTAATTGGCAATTCGAACAGCAATTTCTATTGAACATTCACGAATTGTCCCCAGTGGCGGATAAAGACTACCCATTTCTAGGTCTTCGTCTTTTACATGATCAGCAACTGCTTGGGCAGAAATAAGGAATAAATCTTCGGTAATGTGATGAACTCCTGTTCCAATTACTCCCAATGCAATTCCAGGGAATATGTAAGCGTTGTTTCCTTGTCCTGGCTTGTAAATTTTCCCTTTATAGTTAACTTCTCCAAATGGAGAACCCGAAGAAAATATACACCTTCCCTAAAAAGTAAATATCTTGTTTTTATAATGTTACTAACAGATATGCATTTATCGAAATTATTTCTTTTTTTTTTAACAGTTTTAGTAATTACAGGAAAAACGTAATTTTTTGTGTTAATGAAATTTGACAATTAAAAATCGTTTTCTTCCATAATAACATTAAATTTTTTTCTTATCTTTCTGAGTTGTTTTCTATACTTTTAATATGAATAAAATGTATTTTTGAAGAAATTTTGAAGAAATGTTTGAATATGAACTAATCTCGTACATCCGTATAATCGTATGCTTGCTGAGCTGTGCATTCGGCTTTACTGGTTGGATTGCTTAACGCGAAGATCAATGGCCTCTCGTTGTTTTTGGCCATTTCTTTCAAGACTTCAGGAGTGAATGCTCCTGCCGCCGCTGATGCGCCTGTTTGGATATTTCAACTTTAGAAAAAAATAAATGTATGTTTATAATAGATAAAGGTTCACGTACCTATTAAAACAGTTGGTTTCACTTCTCTCACAATTTCGATCAGTGACTTCATCACCTTATGGTCTTTCGCGTACCAGATTTTATGACCTTCCAGATTACCTTCAGGTCTGTTTTTAACTAGTAATCCGTCGATATCCATCATCCAAATATTATCACGAGCCTGCTGTTCCGTGCATCCGTCTGCTTCCATCGCTTTAACGCAAAGGTCAGCAATTCCAATGGCAGCCTACGATTAACGAAATTGAAATCTGGCATTGAATTCCACTCTTTCCTTTGTAAACAAAATTTTCAAATCTAAAATTCGTTGTTACACAGATTACGTTTTAATATTACATACCTCGCCAGCACCTAGAAAGACGAATTTATTCTCAGACATATTTTTCTTTGTTATTCTTTTCGAAGCTAAAATTCCCGCTACCGCAACTGCAGCGGTGCCCTGTATGTCATCATTAAATGTGCAATACTTGTCACGATATTTATCTAGGAAACGGAAAGCATTGTGGTTTCCGAAGTCTTCAAACTGCAATAATTAGCGAATTTAAAACAAATCAAGATAATCCAAAGAAAGGAATAGAGTAATTTCAGGGGAGATGGTCATATTTTCTATGGAACGCATTTAACTGAAAACTAAAAGAATTGGAACACCTAATTTCACTTCTAAATAAACTTTAACTACTTTCTTACAAAATGATCAACTAGAATTAAAATTACAAATGAAAAACATCAATTGTAACGGTAATTGTGTCAATTGTTTATGTAGGATAATCGAAGTGGCCATTTTTTTCGCACAGCTATCTTCTCCGATATTGCTGTATTTTCTTTTATAAACATACCTGAATCAAAACATTTTGACCATACTTTTTCACGCAGGCAGCCATAAACTCATCGATTAACTCATCGTACTCCGCACCCTGACTTCTCGGTTTGTTGAGTCCGATGTAGTGGGGGTCGTTTCTGAGTTGCTCGTTATTAGTGCCAACGTCAATAGTAATTGGTAGACACTGATGCGGCTTAATTCCAGCTAGAGCAGTGTACAGAGCCAATTTTCCTACGGGAATCCCCATACCACAGGCTCCCAAATCACCCAGACCGAGAATTCTTTCCCCATCCGTTACGCAAATAGCACGAACTGCTTGTTCAGGCCTGCATCATGAAATAAAATTTTCTTACAATTCTTTTGAAGAGAATTTTCAACTTTAGACAATATAAAATGTAAACTCATCATTTCAACGTATATTCGATGAAGTTACCGTGGACTCATTAAACAAAAATCTAATAACCGCAAGGTAAAAGCACCAGTAATTGGCCCGGTATGAAAAACGTAAAAAATAAGCTTTTTACAGGTAATAATCTTTTGAAAAAGGCGCGATATGCTGCAGCATCATCCGACCCAACGTCTAAATAGTTTCACCCGAGTTAAATTGTTTATCGTAAAAGCTAACAATTTATTTCATTGACGTTGGTCGTATATCTCTAATTTCCAACATGGAATTCATTTCTTTTCATTTGTATTTGTCCTTTTACTTGCAATTTCTCATAATCGTTCAGATAAACAATACTAAAGTAATCACCTTTAGTGTTTTTGATTGTACTATAAGTGGTCAACTGTCAACTAACATAAGATCAATTATTATGTATATAGTTTTTTCGTTTTAAAAGATGGTCAACTTGTGACACAAGTTGCATTTTCAAAAATATCTATAAAATTTGGAAAATATAACTATTTCAAAAAAGTTCGCTTTGTCACATAATGTAGGAAGTTCAAACGGCATTTTCATGCATAGAGTCTCTCTATTTAATAAAGGAGCAAACCTTTACTATTATTCACGCAGAAAATTTGTCTTAATTGGTCAACTATTGGTGCTTTTACCTTAAATGGTACAATTAAGTGCGTTTAAGTGGTGTCATATTTATGAAAACTATTTTTATTAATATATTTTAAAATTAAAAATTAAATATAATAACGTAAATGACTTTTATTTGTAGAATTTTTGTACAGTATTCCTGTTTTATATGTGTGGTAGCGGAACACACTTAAGTAAATATAATCAAAATTATGTTAGGGCTATGCGGCTTTATCTACAAATGTGTTCCAGTTTCTGCGTATACATATATGCTTACGTCATATAGTTTGAGGTTTACTGCTAAATAGTTTGCCATTGGTTTACGAATTTTAATGTATAAGTTTTAATCAATGTAAGAATTTTAATATTTAAAATTAAATTTTAAAAAATTGTGAATATATAAAAAAATAAATTATATAATTGTTCTTTCTAAATGATTCATCGAGTGATTGCCGAAATTTCTAAAGTACATACCAATTGTTCAGTATCTCGTAAATGTGTCCTTTATCGTATATTGTAATAAATAGTCCACGAGGTCTGCGATAAATGACACCGAACTTCTGACAGGCTAATCCCACGGTAGGAGTATAAACAATTGGCATCATCTGCTCAATGTTCTCACTTAATAACCGGAAAAATAATCTTTCATTTCTTTCCTGTGACAAAAAGAAAGTATTTCGAGTGGCTAATTATCTAAAGTAATGTTATTCGTATATATATTACGATTATCATCGTAATTATTTATTCTGCAAGAGCAAAACATAGATTATTTGGTAGAGAGAATTAATCGTTTCGTATACAACAAATAGTTGAAGAGATAGAGCGAATCTTGTCATTTTTTGAGCATTTCTTTTATTTTGTGTAGTTAAAGAATTATACTAACCAATACTAATCAATACTTCTCTCAAAATAACCAAAATGATGTCCTTAAACTTTTAAATACATATTATATTTTTAATGAATGCTACATATAACATTAGTGTGACGGGTTAAAAAATCGATTTGTTTACAAATATTGAAAGTATAAATCCTTAAAAATTTTCTTCTAAAATTTTTTAGCGATATACGAGGAAATAATGAAGTTAGAGATATTTTTGTGTAGTGCGGTCATAGTTTGACCACAAGCCTTCAAAGTTTTGACATTAGGTTTACGAATGTTTATTGTACGGTTTATCTGATTGTTTCTAGAAAAATTGGTGTTCGTTCGTTTAGATCTAAAAATAGACTATTAGGATACATATTCGCGTATTGCATTGATCAAAACTGACATAGACGTTTATCAAGTAATTCAATATCGAGCTCAAATTTTGTATGCGTCATCAACAAATACATGTGTGAGTCAATCTTAATAATATGGACTATCATCTATACTTCAATTTTGCTGAAATATCTCTTTTTAAGATTTCTGCAGCCATTCAGAGACAAAAGTACGAAAAAACAAAACTTTAAGTTCAAACCGCCATCATTTAAAAAGATTTTCGACGTATTTCTTTCTTTTTGGTACCTACGCTAGCCATATTTATGTTGTTTAAGAATCAATTGGATTTTATTGTTCAAGATAAGCGGAATGCCTTAAATCATGGCAACTAGCAAACTATTTTTTTTCATACTTAACTTTGATGTGCTTCATAGCAGCCAGTTTTAAGTATTACTCAACAGAACAATTTGTAATCATTCTTCCAGAATTCATAGATATTATAACATAGAGCTTATGCTAATGAAATAAAAAAACATCCATCACACTGTTATACACCCTTAATGGAGTGTAATCTATGGTAAAGCAATATAAATTTTTATTTTTATACATACTTTTGCCATCAGAATAATAGTCATCATTTTATATTTCATACAAATCTATAAAAATTATAAATATAATAGGTTTAAATTTGAGAACTAATGTGGCTATATCTATCACGCTAAATCCATTTATTTTCAAATTTTGTTTTCAGTATTGTACTAGTAACGAGGTACAATTCATGCTGAGATCATATTTTTCTTGTCATTCAGTACGATATTTTCTAAAACATCTTACAGGCTGTCAAAGAAATAGCTATAAAAGTGTGTTTATAAACACATTCAAAATAGCTTAGAATTATCTCTAAGCGTATTTAGAATTAAATAAAATTTTCCGTAACAATTCTTTAACTACGCATAATACAAATAAATGTTCCGAATAAATATTATTCGGTTCAATAAGATTTGAATGAAAGCAATTAAAACGTCAATTTTTGTGGACAATATATATAAAAATATAGAATATATAAAAATAAAGTCGATATTTTCTGTAGTTCTGAAAGTGCTTGCGGATACTTTATTCTTGTAGATTTATCGAATATTAAATATTCATTTTCGCTTGCAAACATCGTTATTCTATTATGTCATTGAATTACTTCCGCCTCTCTATTTACGCGGCACTGTTTATACGCGATATCAATTTACACAATTCGAATTTAGTGATACCGAATAAAATCTACTCTTATTTTTTGAAATGTCATTATGTTTTTGTAAAGATATGTGAAATAAATATGAATTTCTAAAACTTATATCAGTTTTTTTTCAAACAGAAGAACAGATGTAGTTCGTATAGTCAAAGTTTTATTGCATCTTAAAAGTACTACATTTATTTCACATTTTGTTTCACTTTACCTGTAGTTCTACGAGGTAGAGATAACGATTCAAGTCCTCGGTATATTTCATAACCGAAGCCTTACACAGTGCCAGCTGTTCTTCTTGAGTTTTGAATCTAGGAGGCTGCAGACCATGTATACCCAAGGATATCCTCTCTTGCAGAGTAAATGCCAAACCCTGTTCGACAATGCAAAATTATACATATGTAATAACTAGAATGATTAGATTGCAAATGATGTCCTTGCATTTATAAAGAAATATACTCCCTGACACTACTTCAGGATTTTCATATATGATCATATACTTTTTACTTATACCAATATGTAACTCAAATTCTACATTAATAAAATTTGGACATGTAAAAGGAATGTAGTGGGTAAAATTCACAAAACATAAAGACATAATTTTCGACCCAATACAATAGAATAAAATAAATACGTTCATTGACATATTGATGTATATAATTAACACACGTTTATCGTGAGTTATTAATGAATTTATTATAAAGTTATTATTTTATTCTCAATTTATAAGTTATTACATGAAATAAATATTCGTGTTATTTGAAACTTGCACGGAAATTTACTGTTTATTTATATTAGAATTAATGTAACAGAATATTCAGTATTATGGTGTAATAAATACATACATAATTTATAAACCATACATTATTTGTTTATGTTAAGACTTCCTATATTTAATTACAATTTTATTCAAAAAATACCCTAAACACCTCGTAGTAGTTTCTGGTAATTCTTATACTCTGCAAAAATATAGCAAAAATATTCAAAGTTTCCGTAATATTAAAGGTTAACATTTTTACATTCTATAATATTAGAACTGGGTT